GGAAAAGAGAGTAAAAAATAATTTTTTTGGGAAAAACGAAACTTTACTTACGTTTGTGTTCCACTTCTCGGGGAACAACATGTACTCTGCCGGGATCAGGTCCGAGGTCGTCACTCGGACAAAATGGCCTAGACAACCTCGATCCCGGTCTTCATCGATGCTCGAGAACGGGGCTTTACTAGCCTGGCGTGCAAGTTTAATCAGTCCCCTTCGGAAGAATCGAGGACTGTATAGGCGCATGAGGTAGTCGACGATGAACAAACATCCGTCGATCTTGCTCACAAAGAACAGAAGAAGAATGACGATCCTCCAGAATGAGGGATGAATCTGGCCGAGGCACACCTCATAACTTCTGCAGAAGTGGATGATTATCGGGTCCAACGGGCCCAACGTAAAGGGATAAATGTAAACACTTAAGTATCCCTCGACGTGGGTAGTAATATCTTCTTTGGGCCCGAGAACCACCACATCTTGACCGTAGGAAGAATATCTTCGGTGATCTAGCAGATGTACCTCGAGACCTTCTCACACCGGCCAGGAACGGGGGAAGGTTTTTCAACCTTAAAATCGGTGGTCACCGAGCACCCGCCTGGAATAAACATGCTAAGAGGAGGTTCCGCCGCTGGTTCCTCGCCGTCCGGCCGTGATGGAGAAGTAATTTCTTTTTGGGGGACTATTTTTGAAATCTTCGCCATTTGCTTTTAAATGAAGTGTAAAAAGATGAAAAAGAGAAAGTTAAAGGGGTACACTTGACGGTTCGAAGTGAAAACAAGCGAAAGTTCTTACAAAGATCTCAAGAAATCAGGATGTGAATGCTAGAAAATGTAGAGATTTCTAAGGAACAAGAGTAGAGAAGGTTTGGATGAAAAGTTTGAATGAATAACGAAGGAGGTATTTATAATTTTCAAATGACGGTTCAAAGCCAGGAGTGGCCGACCAGCAACTGACGAGCATTTAATGCCATTAAGACGTGATTGACGAGACATTTCGTTCATTTTGTCATTTCTGACGCGGAGTATCGAGGTGAGAATTGGAAGCTCATATCGTTTCTCATCGCTTACTCTCCGAAAAACGAGGGGACTATCTGTATACGGTCAAAATCGGTCTCGATTATTACATGACATATCGGACTCGGAACACGAGGGGTTGAAGATCGACCCTGAGTCTCGTTGAACCAGAACACGAGGTCAGAATGTCCGAAGAATATTGAGTCCATGATCCCGGAATCGACCATGACCCCGAGTAAGTTCGAGAAAATATTGCCGATATAACCAAAAGAAGATCGGAATAACGGAAGGCCGAAACATCCGTAACCGGTCAGATATCACGGCGGAAATCTCGACACGTATCGATAGAGAACTGGCAAATCGGCAAACCAGGAGATTTTTACCTTTTAATTGTACATAACATAGGACTCACCTTCTATATAAAGGGAGTCTGATTACTTGTAAAGGAAATGACAACACGCATCCCAAAGCAATATATTGTTATTTTTAGTTCTTATTATTCTCTTGTCATTCCATTCTGATATCAATAAAAACTCTTTCGGCTCAAGGGTGACTAACCTTCCAAGGCTAAGACTGTTCAACTTATGTAGTTTGCATTTACTTTTCCAGTGCTTATTTTAATTTCAATCTTATTTATCGTTTTGTATCAAATTAGATTACGTATCCTTAAAACAACGTATAAATTCAATTGTTATCCGATTTTGAAGATAAATAGGATTAGTTTTTTTTCCATATCTTTCTTATAAGGGAAACATGAATAATACTTAAATAGAGCACCCCTAGAGTTTTAAGTATTTACAAGACAATTCGGATGACATAATGAAGCAAAATATCGCCCCACGAAGAATGTGAGGCTCATCAATAGATCTCCAATGATCAAAACTTATCCCCATCGTGTTCACACTAAAATATTGAATATAAGACATATATTTTGTATTTACACTTTTTAATTAACTATGATCAAGTGATATGCATTTTTACTTTAATATGTTGATTTTCAAAGTTAATTATTTAGTCAGATGTAAACACCCGATGCGATCTGTATTAAATTTAACTATCTAACATGTTCTACGTAACTAAATATAAAATGCATCCACAACTCGAGTGGTAACATAAAACCTTAACTTTTTGAACAAGTTGCTATAAGTGTTAATTTATGCAACTTCAAAAAATATGTTTGAAGAGGTTTTAGGCAAATAGTGCATGTACAAATCTCTTATCTAATGATCATTATATGCTTTCCCATAGAAAAAGATACCATGATCTTGTAACTCCTCCCAAAATGTTAACAATTTTATAACCGTGTTTATGCGGAAAGTAATACAGCTTTCGAAATATTTCAAATGTCCAGCTTTTATGAACATTCTTATCGAGAAATAGTAAGGTCGATTAGTGAAATATGACACCATATCTACGTACTCTAGTTTTAGTAGGTAATAAGCTTTATAGGTAAATTATTTAACAAGAAAGCCTTAATGGCGTTTCGCTAGAAAATATAACTAGAATTAGCTATGAACTTTGTCGCTATATCACTCGTAACTAACAAAATTCATGATAATCTGTCGCTAGATAGAATTAGCGACGAATTTTTTTGCCTAGCCATAAAATTTATCTATCGCTAATTCCTGTTTTTTAGGTAGTGTTTTGAAATTGGTTCACATTTAGTTTTTTTCCTCATAATTAACATTTAGCTTTTGGAAAATTAACTTTTGATATATATATATATATATACACACACACTATGGGAGGTCAAGGTTGAATAAGTAGGCAAGTGTCCTCACTCTATTTGCGATTTTTTAAATAACTAGTTTTAGGATACGCGCGTTGCGCGTGTACCCATGTTAATAAAAATAAAAAAATTAAAATAATATAAATGGTATATTTAAAAGATATTTGTGATAAATAAAAATTAGCAAAAATATGCTTTCCAAAGATAATTCTTTCAACCCGCACTAACTAACTTTTTTAAAAGCCAAAATTCTCATCATCTTGTGATAAATACGTTTTCTTAGCTTTTTGTAATGATGTTAAATTCTTGGACATACTATACATGTGTGATGTTATAATTATATTATTTTTTTATTAGGCGAATATGTTATTTGATATTTTGTATTCTGCTTAACGTCTATATTTGATAATAATGTATTTTTGAATAACTGAAAAGAATTAAAATTGCTAGTATTTGTCCATATGAAAATAAAAGGACGAAGAAAGAGAGAAGAATAGTCAAAAACATTTTTTATGCCCAATGCCTTGCTTTAAATTGATCTAGTATTTGGAGCCAGATTTCACATATTGTTTGTAAGAAAGCACAAAAAGAAAAAAAGAAACTAATAATTTTTCAATACTGATCTACACCAAACAATGTTGATGGAAAAACTGGAGAAGACATAATAAGCCATCTGAAATTTTTCAATGTTTATTAGAATTTATAAAAGTAAAATCATACTTGATTTTAAATTTTTAAAATTAGGTATTCGTACATTTTTCAAATAAAAAAAATTAGAATCTTAATTTTTAAAAAAAATAATTAAATTACTATTCTTAAATATTAAGAAAATAATAAATAACTATTTTGTCTAGTGACTAGTGTCTATAATCAAATATTTAGAACTCTAATATATGTTGCACATGTATGTGTCCGTGTATTTTAGAAGGATTTAGAACAAACATTAACAATACAAAAATTTCTTTATAATTAGTACAATACATTAATCGTTGGCAGAAGGTTACTCTTCTTAGACTATCAACTACATTTATTTTATAAATTAATATACTTGATTTTTAAATACCCAATAGAATAACAATGTTTATATTTAGCATAGAAAAGAATATCAACTAATTAATACAGCCTAAACCTAAAATGGAATACAAAGTGGCAAAACTTTGTATAATCCGAAATATTAGGAAATTAATTTAATGACTATTCTTAAATATTAAAAAATAATTAAATAATTATTTCTAAGTATTAGAAAAATAATAAATGACTATTCCTAAGTATTAGGCAATTAATTAAATTATTATTTTGTCTAGTGCGAACTCTATTTTATAAGAGTAAAAAAGACGAACGACATTTCGCTAAGGACCTTCGTATTTTTAATATAGTATAATATAATATAGAAATAGATAATTTGCCAGTTTTATTAAAAGAAAGCATATATATAAAAACACAAACAGAAATCAATAACTAATTTTAGGGAACATTTTCAAATTTGGCCTTGAAATATTCGACTTATCTTATATTTATTCTCTATTTACCTTTCGATCCATCAAAGTCCCGCACTATTAATCTCGTTCCATATTTTGTTCCTCTCGTAATTATGGTTCTCCATCTTGAATTTAACATTTGCCATGGTAAATCCATGTAAACAAATAAAAGATCCAAATTTATTCCTAAACTATCAAATTGCTTTATATTTACCATCTACAATAATTTAAAGTATGCTCTGAATAATTAAAAAACATCCAAATATATCCTAAGCAAAAAAATGTCCCACTATGCACCTACGTGCTTCCATTGTACAATTCAAATCAAATCCATTTTTTCATGGTAAGAACACCGTTAGTGGAATGGGAACATCTAAGACGAAAAATGAGGATTTTTATTTTATCGAAATATAAATATAAGACAAATTACAATGTTAAGTGTATAGTATTTGAATCCCCTTAATTTTAACACAAGAAAATGTAGAAACGCATTACAGTGTTAGATCATGCGCACGTGCATTTACTGTAACTCCACGTGGGCAAATTCTCATAAATAAGTAGACCACTCCAAATATCATCCCTAAATTCTGTTAAAGCTCTCTGTCACGATTTTTAGCCATGCCTCCTCCCCCTGTTTTTTCCTCTCCATCCTGTAACGTTCACACACCAGTCGGCTATATTCTCCACGTGTCATGATCTCATTCGTCTCTTCTACCTATAAATAAGCTCCTCCCTCCCNACTGAGTCTCAGATCTGTATGTACTGCCGTGTATATATATATATATATATATATATATATATATATATATATATACACACACATCTCTATCTATCTGTGTGGAGGAGTTTCCATTTGTTGCGGCGGTCTCTAATTCGCTTGGTGCAGGTCGGGAACTGACTCACCGGTGACGCTGTCCGCGCCGGAATCGGTGGCGTTAGTTTCGTTGATATTTTGTTTGCATTTATCGATATTTAGAGAGCTCTCTTTAGGACTTATTTGTTAGTAATTTGTTTTGTTGAAATTAACTTGATGTATGTGTAGATAAGTAGAGAGTGTTTACCCCCGGTTGGTTAAGTAATAGATATGAAGAGAGTTCATTTTTTTTTTTGTTTTTAATAAATTAGTTATGTATGAAAGTGCGCCTCGTCTATGGCTTAAGTTTGTTCCCGCCTTGCATCAACTGAATCGGTGACCGCGGTGAATTTGATTATGTTTGGATCGATCTATTCTCTCGCTACATGAGGTTTGTTTTTCATTCATTTTGATTCAAATATTTGCATATATTTTTATCTGTATCGTGTGCGTGTGTTTGTTTTTTCACTCTTCTCTCTTTATTTTTTTTAATATTTCTGTTGTGTAACTGATTGGATTTATCTGGATCTAGCTGTATCTATTGCTGTGTGCAGGCTCGTGATCCCAGCTGTGTTTATTTGTCCTTCGGATGATCGAAGAGTTTGGCTGTGCTTGTATAATAAATGTGCAATTTTTTTTCTTCTTCCGTTTTAATGCAATTTTTGAATTGATGAAATTTCATTAAAAATAAGAGTTGCGGGGAACAGACATAATGATTTAAAAATCCTCCTGTTGAGATTGCCACCATGGATTAATCGTGCAATTTTGATGTGTAAGAGGAGGTTGTGCTTCAATAGCGAATGTTCAAAGTGAACAATTTTAGTCATGTTGACGAATCATAGATTTGAGTTATGGATTAATGTTGGAATATCACGTGTTTTCAAATGAAGAAAAGTGACTCTTGAATTGTCATTGACGAATTAGAGAATTTCTATTTTTATTTATATTTATCTGGATTTAAGAGATACTAGTGCTGAATGATGGATATTTAAGTTTGAAATTTTGTATTTTCTTTATGCCATTGATAAATCGTAAATTGGAGTTTGAACACCATAAGTTTTCTTGTTCCATCTGTTTCAAATGACACCTGACACAGCATTAATGTAGCTTCTGGCCTATTAATACAGTAATCTAGATAAGATATGAAATGTAGACCCAGAAGGTAAATTATGTTGTGGTCGAATGTGCAGTCTGCACCGTAACTACAAACGAATTCAAATTGATGGTGCATTTTTTAGTTAACATTGCACACACAATTTTTTGGATGCTTTAATGGCATTAACTGCCTCCATCTACGCCTTGTCATCACCTTCTTTGGTTAAGTTCACAGAGGGAAATATAATTTGACAATTTCTCCAAGTCTTAGTTAATGTTTTATATGAGAGTTTGTCATTCTAATTTTAGTTGAAATTCAGTATTTGCTGTTGTGTTTGAAGGGTCTTAATAACCCAATATCGATTTGAGGGCTGAGGGACAATTGAAGAGCTTCCAACTGCTCGTTCATTTGTTTTGTGCTCATTTAAGTTTGTTTACATAGTAACCTAATAAAATAAAAATTGCATTCTTATCACAAGTGAGAAGTTTTATATGTGAGGACAGCCTGTCAGGTGTGTTTGATTGATGTAATAGTCATATTGAGGAATTCATGTTGGGGTTTTCAACGCCATTTACTCAATCGAGTTGAGGAGAAAGATAATTTGGAGGTGCCAGAGTTTAGAGTAATCCATGGAGGCAGGAACAACAAATATGAGTTGCTTAGTGTTTGAGAGAAACTAGTGTTTGTAACGTACTGGCCTACAAGTTTTCAGTTGGAGAGTTTTGGGTACATATTCTTTTACAGTGGGTTAGTTGGTGTCTCTTAACCAATGGTTAGTGTCTTGAAGTTGAATCCAGCAAATTTATATATGCCAATTTAGTAATTTACCAATTTGTGTTTATTTGTTCTATGTTGCATCCTCAATTGCCAAAGCATCCGTCTTAACTACTAATAGAATAGATGAATTATATCAAATATATACTCTTGGTAATCTCATGATTAAGGGATGATCTAAATTTTTCGTTTTGTCCTCATGCTTCTTTTTTCTGTTTGTAAACGTCATTTATGTTCGTCACTCGTCAAAACTAATATGAAGCTTGACATGTTTAAGGTAATGTAGTAGGATAACTAAGCTGCAGGCTGTAACATATTGGTATCAGCTGCCTTCTTGTTATGGGTAGAACTAGAACCTGTAGAGGGAATAGACGGCGTGGTTGACAGCAAGATTCCAGGATGCAAAACATCTCTGGCAGAACACAGTGTTTTGGGCTAGGTTTTTATCGTAAAGTTTGTGTTACAGAATACACAAAGAAGATATCAGATGCAACTAGCCTCTACCTTTGCCAAAGGTAGATTGATTTTTATTTTCTCAGTGTATTGGAAGTCAAGTAAAAAAGACTTGTCTTATGATCCATGGAAATAAAAATGCTGGTGCCTGGCAATTTCTTATTTGTTATTTTCTTTATGAATCGGGTACTACAATAATGAGTTTACGTTGGTGATTTGATTGGAAGTCTTTGATGCTTCTTTGGTTTTATGATGTTGCCTGTATTCTTAGAAATTTGCTAGTTAGATTCCCCTAGTAAAGGGTGTTCCAGGAATGCAGAGACTTTTCAGCATCTCCATTTTCATTTTAAAAATTTAGCTCATGTAACCCATGGAAACATGGGTTAGCAGTGAATTGTAGAACACTCGTGTATCTTTTGTTGGAAAACAGCACTTCAATGTAAGAACACATCCAGCCTCTCCTTTATCGCCTGTTCAGCTTACTCTACCTCTTAGTCTCGTTTTCTCACCAACTTGTGCCATCCTAAGACCTAAGGTTTCTTTCCTCTTTTTGCCAAATGGCACTAGACTTTTCTTTACTTCACATAACCTGAACAAAATTTCTACTTCCTTATCCTCCCCCACTACACCCGGCTTAATGTCCCTGTTTTCAAATAGTGGCTCCCGCTAAACTAGCTGTTACTTATTTCTTACTAATTCCCTGGTTTCTCAACCTGCATCAATGCCTCTGTTTAGTGACTAAACCAGCTGTCACAACAAGCTCTTTTGCCTCTATTCTATCTCCTTCATCATTAAGGTGGTATTACGTGTACAAATTAATGTAGTAGCTTTTTGTCTTGTGTGGCATGGGAGGAAGTTGCAGCCCGTACACCTTCATATTTTTCCAATTGTCAATATTTTTACCATCTATATTACTTTTGCTAGTCATGGTGCTTAAAAATGCTGCCCAGAATGTTGTAATCTGTTATATTCTGATCGGTACTGGGATGATGTTTTCATATTGAGCATTGTCCTTGTATTGGGTGTGAAGTTAGAAGTCTAGCAACGATAACCGATAGCAAATAAAATGTTGAAGGATCTTTGGGCAGAAGACAAAGCATGACATGAGAAGTGTGCATGGCTTTATAATAGTGGATTGCAATGTGCAGCAAGGGAAGGGATTTTGTTGCATGCCGTTTCATGTGTAGTTATAGCCAGCTGTGGTGTATTAGTTACTTACTAAATACTTAGTAATTAATTGTAGTTAGCTTTTATGAATGTATTGCATGAGGTGTGGTTGTTTGTAGCCCTATAAAACAACCCGTTTCAGTTCCCATTATAGGCATATTTGGCAATACTATCTTTCTACCTTCCATTTTCATTCTTGGATAGCTAATAATCCCCGAGTTAATCCCTACAATTTCCTTCTTGAGCACTGCTGTTTGTGGATGATTCATTATACCGGCATCATCTGTTATCAGAGCAAGAATTTACTTGGCCATAATTTATGGTGAAAACAAACAAAAATTACAGATAAGGCAGCCATGGAAATGAAGACATTCAAGGAGCTGCAGAGAGATTCTTCAATGAACTGAAGTCAAGGCAAGATAAATTGGTGGGATCCGCAAAGGTGATGGACAAAGGAAAGGATAACATTGGGCATGCCTGCCCCTGGTACCAACCTATGAATGGGTTCAATTCAAATACCAAACCTCACTTCGCCTCGAATTTCCTAAATTCTCAGGAACCGACCTCAATTCCTGGTTATACAAGGTAGACCAAATTTTCTTTGATTGATGACTGTCATCTTTGTTTCAAAAGCAAATGTAGTTACACTACTTTTATGGAGATTCCATCCAGCAGCATCAAGCTTACTGTTGTGGGAAAATGCATCTTTACGTGAGAGGTTTATGTCCTGGCTCTTGTTGAAAGGTTAGAGTTAAACAGGAGGATCACATGGCTGAGCTCAAACAGCTCAAGCAGACACAGAGGGCGTAATGCATTATCAAGCTTCGTTTAATAGTATATAACAGGTATATTACTAGTAGCTTATTGTGGGATTGAAGCCTGAGTTGAGCTATTAAATCAAAATGCTTAATCCTAGAAGCTTCTCACATGCATATCATTTTGTCAAATTATACGAGCAGCGCATCCCAATCCAAATTATTCAAGAAGCAAACATCATTCCTCTCTGCTCCTAACAGAAGGTACACTTGACTTTCCACTCGTATGACTCTTACTATTGTCGAAAGTGTGATAGAAGGTCCTAAGAATTATATCATTTTTCCTATGAATCCTTTACTCCTGAGAAAAAACGTATGATGCATAAATAGTTACATATATAACTCTTAAGAAATGTCGTATGCAGTCTCATAAGACAAGCATTGCAGACAAATTTATGAAAATTTCTGGTTTCAGAGTTATGAATATTCTCATAATCCTTTCTTGTCTTATGAAAATTTCTTGTTTATCTTAGATTACAGTTTGGTTCCTTTCAATGATAACTATCTCAATTCATTAAAAATTTATGCTTAGGTCATGGTGATCCTATAAAAGTTCATACCATACCATCCTCTCAAGCAACTCAAACCGTTGGTAAATTTTATGTTATGTAATATTTCCGTATAAGGTATTACTCTTCTAAGATCTACGAACAATGAATTGCAAAGAAACCTAAAGATGACAACTAAAACAAACAGAAACAGTAGATATCCTTAGAATATGACATAAAAAGGCTTTGGTAAATAATTGAATAATTTAATAGAGTTGAACCTAGTCTTTCTTGTCCATATTGGAATATTCTTTGACCTAGCTAATGGAGCATTTGCCTGCAGAACAATCCAAGAGCTGAAGCATCATATGAATATTAAGGAATCTGCTCAAATTCTGTACCGACACCATCCCAAACAAAAATCTATGCATCAAATTCGTTTCTTCTTTGTCAATGGATGCTGAATTTCAGCTGTCTCTTCTTTGTTTATCCTTGAGTTCATCCCATTTGGTGCTGGAAAAAGGATATATATATATATATGTCATTTTGGTGTAGCAAATATTGAGCTTCCTCTTGCCATTTTGATTGGAAACTTCCTTATGGCATGAAACATGGATATGACACAGGAATTTCGTTTGACTGTGGGCAGAAAACTATTGTAGCTTTCATAATAGATACTAGTATGACTTTTCGTTTTCTCTTTCCCTGTTCTCATTTTCACTGATATAAATTTTATTGTAAAATACATATTTTGACCCAGAAAACTGATGTGGTTTTTCTAATAAGTAATTTAATATGCTTAATAAATTGGATTAAATGTAATAGCCCATCTTAATACAAGTTAAACGACCCATATTCACAAACGGATAATAATAATATCTTTCCCAGTCAAATTGTCTATGCAGTCAGTTTTCAAAAAAATCTACATGGTTATAAAGTTTCACAATACCGTTCAAAGTGAGAGTTGAGACCTTGCATCTTAAAGGTGTGAGCTTCTTGTGTTTTTTGGTTCTTTCTTGGAAGAGATTTAGGGGTCGTTTGGTACGAGGTAAAAGTAGATATAGTGCTGGTGTAAAATTTTAATATCACCTTAATACTTTGTTTGGTTAGCAAACCTGGTATAAGTTATCCCGGATTAAAATTAGTACCGGGATAACTTATACCTTGTAGGGGATGGGTAATTAGTGCCACGATAACTTATACCTTCTTTTTAGAAATTATACAATTATCATTTTTAATACAACATATCAAATAATGGATAAAAAACAATACCAGAAAAACTAATCTTATCATAACTAATCCCAGCATAACTTATTCCAGCATAAGCCGTATTCAATTTGGATAACCATATGAACTTATCACTATAAAAAATAAAAAAAAAAAAAAAACCAACAAACAAACAAACAAATAAATAAATAAACTCAAAAAAAATCATATCTCTCTATCTTCAAGTCCATTGAGGCATGAGNCCACTAAGGCCCGGGCCCGGGACAAAATACAGCATTAATGAGTCCACACAAAATTCTAAAAACAAATTCCCTAGGGAAAGGGCAACGAAATATGACCACAAAGTGTCATTCTCCACTTTCTATTCTCCCACAATAACATGGATCCAAGAGACAAGACACAAATGACAAAAACGTACGTGAGTTTACAGGAATTCTGTGAAAGTCCCCAATTTTTGTATTGCGTACGAAATTGGGGACAAAATGAGGTGGTTCCCTTTTCTCCGTAGTGTATGTAGTTGCATAGAGCTGCGTTATAAAATACTCGTATCTGTGTTTTAAAAAGCGTGAGCGTAAGCCGAGCTTAAGACGAGACGTTTTACATATGTCTCAGCAAGACGTAAGATCCGAGATAGGGGATAAGCCCCATGAGTAATTAATTTTTAATATTTTATAAGATAATATAATTACAGTAAATATTTATAAATAGGTAAATTACATAAACATTAAAGAAAACTATAAATATTTGAAATATATATATAGATGCGCTTCATCCCTACAAAAAATTCGTCAAAATAATTTATTATATGTTACTTACAAGCACAAGTAACTTGAGTCGAACAGAATAAAGTTTTCTACATAGAGGAACAAAAAGGAGAATGGAGTTCTCTTTATATTTGTAAAACAAAATTGAATATTTGTTGTTTTGGAAAATATTAGCAGACTAGTGAACAAGATAAAGAATTGGGAACGACCATACATTAAGGCTTAAATAAATAAAAAAAAGTCTTGATTTTTAAATTTCATACATTTCAGTTCATTTTTAAAAAATTTGAGTAATTACAAGCTGACTTTTGAGAATTTAGATATTATATTTTAAGAATTTGAGTATTATATGAAGCATTTATTCAACAAATTTTGTTTTAAAAATTTTATTTTTGGTGCGCCTCGCCCTAGGGCTCGCCCCGAAAACGTCTTCTGAAACACTGCCCATCTCCATCCACATGATATGTCTTTTAAAGTTGTTTACATCTCTTAAAAATTATACTCCATTTAATTTTTTTTACTTATAGGAGTATTAATCTAAACTGTTCATTATATTACTCTTAGGTACGTCACTTAATTAACACTCTATTAACTAAAACAGTAAGATTAGATTAGAAAAAAAAACAATAATTGACGCCTTGTTTTTTCTAGAGTTTGAAATGCTTTAAAATAAATTCAATTTTCAAAATGAATAATATTCGAGATCGAAGACAACATAAAGTAGCACAAGCTTATAGTTGTAATCCAAGGAGCTGATTGTTGGGTTAAAAAGACCGAAAGATATTTTTTTAATATAATGTAATAGTGTCCGCTTTGAATCAAACCCGTACGGTTTTCCATAAAAGGCCTCACACCACTATCCAACTCCTTAGAAGTAGATTATTTTCCTTTATACTTTTCATGTAGGACTTTATTCACGCACATCCAACAATCTTCCCTTGTCCCTCACCATTTATAGGTTAATTTGGAGATTAATTATATGTCACACACATGATCTTGAGTGTTTTTGGTCACCGCCGAAGCCTAAAGATTATGTATGCATCTTCAAAGCTACGGATAAAGGTTGTTAACCCTGTAGACGGGCAAAGACATTGAATTGGGCCTCTACGCTACACTCCGTCATCTCAATAGTTCTGTCAGCCATTGGCTCCGATACCGGTTATTGGGCTAAAACGGCTCAAAGATCCTTTATTTTTTGTTCACACACACCGAACAATTCCCCCC